ATTCTTAAAGATCAGTTATTGAACAATTAACTTAAAGAATAACTTTTTGGGCTGGGAATTTAGCTCAGCGGCATAAGCGCATGCCTTACAAGCAGGCAGTCGTGAGTTAGATTCCCGGTACCAATAAAAAAAAGACCAAAAAAAAAAAAAGAATGACTTTTTATCAAAGACAGAAATCTTAGCCTGTAATGTAGCAAAATTTCTCTGAACTGAGAAGGCAGAAATTGCCATTTGTGGCTCAGTTAAGGCTGAATGCTTCTCTAGTGGGGCAGGGTCTCCTTGTCCCTCACTGCTTCTTTCTTATCTAATTAAAAGCAAAGCCAGAGAGCTTAAGCTCTGTTGGTGGTCTTCTTGCTTGGGCTTGATTTTAAAGTCATGCTTCAAGACAAAGCCTTTGTTGTCCTTTTAAAGACTGAAGTACTTTTTGATGCAAATCCACAAAAGTAAAATTCAGGAATCAAGCGTGCAACAAACATATCTATATATCTATGTACATCTGTATAAATCTCTGGTTCTTGAGACTGTTGCCCCATCTTTAACAACTAATAAAATCAATACATTTCTTTCCCTTTTGTTTCTTGTAAGCCTGTTTGTGTCTCTCTGGCTTCTCTTAAGCCTGTTTCTCTCTCTGGCTTCTCTTAAGCCCATTTCTGTCTTATCCCAGGTCCAATACCTGGTATTAATATCAGTTCATCACAGTGATGAGTAACTGACCACTACCAGTGCACTTTTCCCTTTTGCACTCCAAATGAGAAGTGTCCCTTGCCCACTGTTCTTACTCCAGTCTGTGTTCATGCACCAATTCTAGCATCCAGCTGCAGCTTTAGATGTTGGGGGAGCAGGAGGGGATAGGAAAATTTTTTTTAAAAAGATGAAAGATGGGGTCAGGTGGAGCCCTCTCTTCTGATGGGAGAAAAAGAACTGTTCAACCACTGTAGGGGATGTTCATTTATACATTTAGCAAGAGTAAAGTCATGTGACACCCCTTTGCTAGCATCCCATTGCTTGGATTGCCTTGGGGCTTGGAACAGCTTGTTTGCCAAGGCATTCATTGCTCTCTGACTGGCCTGCACATGTGGTCAGTCTCCAGCTTCAGCTGCTCCCTACATCTCTGTACCATGTGTTACCCCTGCCCTGAAAGTCTAAAAATACTTTTAAGTGTGATTTTTTTGTACTCATTTTTATATTTCTAGACCCTCTTAGAGTTTCTAGAACCTTAATTGATCAATATCTGTTTTAGAAGAGAGCTAAGAGAGCTAGGTAGAGGGAGAGGAACGGAGACACTTCCATAGCCTAGGAGGCTCCAAAAGAGGACATTCCGGGACAGGGCACGCTAGTAGGAACAGCACGCTGCAGTGACTTCAGTCACATGTTCTGCTCTCAAACAGGATTGGTGCGGAGTGTTTGGCCTGGATGACGCCGCTGACTAAGACCCAGTAGGCTAACCCAAACCAGGTCCCAGCGCCTGCTGGTGCACCCTAGTAGTGAAGCCTTCACTACGTTGACCTGGAGGGGCAGGCCCAGCATAGGCTGCCCAGGTCTGTGTCTCCCTAGTACACTGCAGTGGGCGGGAACACCTAGCCAGCAGATTCAAACAAACTGTAACCCACAAAGAAAAAAAACTGGGCTTCCTATATACGCTTGTATGAAGGAACAAAAAGTATGGGAAGAGGGATCAACAAGAAAGGGTCATCAGTCCCCAATGCTGAGAACACTGATCCAGGAAAGGTAAATGCAAAGGAGAATGAGGACCAAAAACATGCAATATCAGACACGGCACCGAGAGACATAAAACGATGTCTCCGGAGCCTCATAAACAAGTTCAAAAGTGAAGTATTTAACGAAATAAAGCAAGATATAAATAGAATAGTTAAAGAAATGCTAAGCACCACCCAAGAAAAAACAGATGGTGGAATGGAAGAACAGAAAAAAAGGGGAGAATTGCTTGATGGAGAAAATAGAGAAAACATAGAATATGTGAAGCAGGTTCAAAGACATTACCAGGAAACTAAAAACTCTATTGAAAGCTGGCATAACAGCTTGAAAGAAATTAAGGATAGATTATCTGAACTAGAGGGCAGGTTTGTATTGTGGGAGCATGAAATGAAAAACTTCTTAAAAATAACAAGAAAACAAACAGCAATAATACAAAGACTAGAAGATAATAAGAGGATCTATAACTTAAGAATGTAAAAGAAGAAGTAGGGACACAAAAAAATGAACTACAAAAGCTATTCACAGAAATAATCCAGGAGAATTTCCCTAATTTAGCAAAAGGTAAAGATACTCAGATGTATGAGGCATACAGGACCCCAGCCACCTACAACCCAAACAGAGCTACACCCAGGCATATAATAATCAAAATTCCAGAAATCCAATAAAAGAACAGAATATTAAAAGCTGTCAGAGACAAGAAACAGATCACTTACAAGGGAACACCCATCAGAATTACAGCAGATTTCTCAGCACAAACCATCAAATCACGAAGAGCATGGGGGGAAATAATTCAAGCTTTGAAATATAATAACCTCCAGTGAAGACTGATATATTCTGCACAACTGTCCCTAGAAATTGATGGAAAAACAAGGTGCTTCCAGGATAAAGAGGAACTAGGGGAATTTGCAACCACCAATTCAACTCTACAGAGAATACTGCAGGATATTCTTAAAAAAGAAAAATACCAAGATTCCAGAAACAGGCCACAAGAGTGGAGCAGAAAGCGAAATGAAGAGGACAAACTAACAGCTAATGACAGAAAAAGAGCTCAACAGAAATGAGGCAGAGAAGGTTGGATGGTAGGAACAGCTATTTTGCAGAAAACAAGACATCATAATAGCTAGTACTGATTTAAAGTCCCATCAAGCTTTTGTTCTTCTGTCTCCATTGGTCTTAACATGTTGTATCTTATTGGATTTTATTATATGTGATAATATAAACAAAAACTTTTATAGACAAGGCGATTATATAGAAGCCATTATTCATTTTCTATTAGTTGATTCTGTAATACTGTAATATTGTAATTATCTTGAATGGTTTTACATTGTCTTGATATGTTTGATGCCAGAGTACATAAAGTACATTCAAAGATTTCAAGGAAAGAGACACTATGGTAACTACTTTTATGTCGGGATATCTTGTGGTAAAACACTATTTTGCTTAAATGGTTATGTTTTGACCTACACTGTTTTGTTTTTATGCCCTTTTATCTCAATCTCCTTTTTTTATTATTTACTTTTTATTTTTATCTTTTTAATTAAGTGAATAAATAAAAAATAGCAGGATATATTATAGTAACCTACTTTGATTTCCTATTAACTTAATTTTGAAACCCTGTATTGCTCTCACCATCTTGTTTTGACTGTTTTTCCTCTATTCTGTTTTGCTTGATAGTACCAAGTTCGAAAGTATAGGCAACAACTGTGAAGACAGTAAGATTCATTATGACGCCCATTCTGGTTGACTATTATCTTCTTATGAAGTCCTGTAATGTCTCCAATGTTTTGGTTTTATTGGTTTTGTTCTTTACTATTTTGTTCAATTTTATTATAACTGATGATATAGGCAATTCTTTTTAAAATAGCAAGAGGCAGTATAATAACCATTGTTGATCACCTTGTATTTTGTTTTTACATTATGTATTATGTCCATCCTTTTGATTTGACTGACTCTGTTTTGTTATGTCACATTTGGTTTTACTCTGTTCAAAAAAAAGTAATAAGAACTGTGGGAATAATAAAACCCAAAATGTGTAATTGTCATTGTACAAAAGAGAGGAATAGAAAAGTGCTCTAAAGGATATAACTGCATGTATATTTAAATGTATAAGATAGATAACCATATTACTGAGTTTTGTTGGATCATTGAACAGAACTGTTTGCAGTCTCACTGTTTGAAAGTCCACTTTATATGCTTTAATTTTGTAATTTGAACAACTATTTCTAAGATGACAGTATGTAATCTATTAACTAGTGATTTCCTACTGTTTATTTTTTTTTGAGATTCTGTATAACTTTTACCCTTTTTCTGTTTTTTTTTTCTTTTTCTCCTTAAATAAAATTTTAAAAAAAGAGAGAGAGCTAGGGAAGTATTTGTTCTGATTTGAGAGCAGAACTACCCCTAGAGGAAGGAAAGTGCCTTTTCTTTGAAGGACCAGGAAGTGTGACTGTCATTTGCAAATAAAGTCCAAGCATCCCAGAGGTCTTGTACTATGGGACCATTCCTGCTTAGCTAAGAACTGCTCTCAAATACCAGTGGCACTCTTTGAGAACCACTGTGCTTAACTAAAGACAGCCTCCTCTTTCATATTCTATGGACTGGATAAATAACTCAATGATAGATATTTTCTTTTCTTTTCTTTTCTTTTCTTTTTGTCTTTTTCATTTTTATCGGTACCGGGGATCCAACTCACGACCACCTGCTTGCAAGGCAGGTGCTTATGCCGCTGAGCTAAATCCCCAGCCCCAATGATAGATATTTTCATAATACTTTTGTTTATCTGTCAAAGCATAATGTGCAATTAGTATATCAGGTTAGTTATCCATAACTATCTAACAAAGTACCCTGAACCTCAGTAGCTAAAAACAATATTATCTCATAGTTTCTACGGTTTGGGGAGTGCCAGACACCTGCCTCACTGGCTGTGGATCTGCATCTGTGACACAGTAAGCAGGTTGTCAAGAAAGGCTGCACCTGTCTGGAGGTCCAATGGGAAAATTAAGTCTCAATTCTTTGCCATGCGGGCCTTTCCACATAGCTGTCCTGGTGGGGCTGTTCAGAGAAACAGTTCCCAAGAAGGAAATCATATTTTCTTATAACCTAATGTGGGAGGTGCTGTCCCATCACTTTGTTCTGTTCTGTTCACTGGAGTTAAGTCAGGCCAGCCTGCTTGGGAGGGACGACAAAAGAAGCAAAGGGCACTGGCCACCAATGAATGAGAGCCCTTCTGTTCCATAAGACCTCACAAGACTCGCTTCTGATTCAGCAGGAATTGTGCTTTTCAGATATCGTTTGAGGACATTGCTGTGGACTTCACATGGGAGGAGTGGCAGCTTCTGAACCCTCCTCAAAAGAACTTGTACAGAGATGTACTTCTGGAGAACTACAGCAGCCTTGTCTTCCTGGGTGAGATACTCAGTGTGTATCCATTACTTGCAGGGGGCTTACTGATTTGGATATAAGTTTTAGGTATCAAAGAGGCTGGATATCTAAACCGATTTGGAAGATTTAGTCATTTGCTTCATTTTACAGCCTTTGAAATAAAAATTTCTCACACTTTAGTCTCTTAGCTCAAGCAACTGGGTCCAAGTCATTTGTTTTCCAATTACCAGGTTATCAGATCATCAAGTCTGATGCAGTTTTCAAGCTAGACCAGGGAGAGTCCTGGATAATAGATGATGAAATTCTAAGTCAGAACTTTCCAGGTGACAAATATTCGATTATGTTAGAAACAATGGAAGTTATCTCAGGTTTTTGGTGATAAGTACTTTCACAATGTTGGTTATATATTTTACTTAAAGTTCCTAAATAGTTAGGTTCAAGACTGTTATCTTGATTTACTGTGGTTTTTATTTAATCTTCTCTATGACCTAGTTTCCACAACTGTCTTTCTGTTTTGCAGTACTGGGGATTGGATTCAGGGCCTTCATACTGAGCTGCATTCCTAGCCCCCCCCCTTTCTTTTTTAAATTCTGAAATAGGGTCTCACTAAATTGCTGAGTTGCTTGGATTGAGATTCAGCTTATAGTTCTTCTCCTTCAGCCTCCCTGAGTGCTGAGACATGAGACACTATACCCTCTCGGGTATGTACCTATGTAGTACACAGATCTACAGCCAGTCATCTAGAGCCCTGCCTCTTAAAATAAAGTAGTTCTTTTTAATTAGCTACCTTCTCTGCCTTCTTCCCACCCTCAAGTCTAACCTGTAGAAACAGGCTGCTATCTTCCTGTGAGAGAAAAAAACAATTTTTTCTCATTTATTTATTTAGTTTTGTCTTTTTAAGTCAGGGTTTCACTATACAGTTCAGACTGGCCTTAACCACATTATGTAGCCCAGACTGGCCTCAAACTCACAGCAGTCCTCCTGCCTCAACCTCCTGAGAGCTGGGATTACAGGCGTGCACCACCATGCTTGGATTTTTTTCTCATTTTAAATGATACTTATTACAAATGAGTTTTATTTCAATCTAAAACCACTTAAGAAGTGCCTGCCTGGAAGTATGAGGTCCTGAGTATTATTTTTTAAAAATCTGTACAAGGGATCTAACTCATGACTGTACACTTGCAAGTCAGGTGGTTATCCTGCTAAGCTAAATCCCCAGCCCGATATCCTGAGTTTTACTCCTGGTCGTCAAAATTAAAAAAAAAAATAAAAGCACTTAAGTTACTTTTTTTCCTCTTATTTGACAGATTTACTTTAAATCCACAGAGAGACTAGAACAAGGCCCCATGAATTTAGAATACAAATCTAATACCTTAATCATAGTGAGGAGGCTCTGCCTCTACTTTTTTCTCAATAAAATATTCAATAACTCACTATTTGAGCATGAAGCACATAGTTTAACATGCAAGTTAATAATGAAGATTAATGATACAGAAGGAACTGCTTAAAAGTTTAGTATATGAACAGCATTTATGCACTGAGGAGTGCATCAGTGAAACCACAAAATTGAGCTGGGTGTGGTGGCACACTCCTGTAATCCCAGCACTTGGGAGGCTGAGGCAGGAGGTTGCAGATTCAAGACCAGCCTGGGCTACAAAGTGAGCCCTAAGCCAGCCTGAACCAAACAGTGAGATCCTGTCTCAAAAGACCAAAAAAAGAAAGAAAAAAACACAAGCCTGTCCTCTGCCTTCATGAGGTTTATACTATCCTGGGAGAGACAGCAGGAGATGAATATGTATTGGATAAGCACTGAAGGGATTAAGTTGGGTATCTGTTAGTGTGGTATGTCAGGATATTTGGATTTAGCCTGGCAAGGTGGTACATGCATGTAATCCTACCTCTTGAGGCTGAGTCAGAAGGACTGCCCCAAGTTATAGGCCGACCTAGGCTACACAATGAGGTCAAGCCCAGTTTGAACTAGAGCCAGACCCTGTCTTAAAAAAAATAATATTTAGATTTTAAGGGCCAAGCATGCCAAAAACATGCCGAATAGAACAGTGAGGGCAGATGTCCTAAAGCAGAAAATGTCTTTGTGCTCAACTTAGAATATTATGAGATTGTCTTAGGAGATAAAGTTGAAGAGCTTTAAGAAACCAGGCTGTATTAGGGCTTTGATGGCATGATGAAATTTTAAATTTATCAGAGTTTTCAAAGAGAGGCATAAAAAGTCCTGATTGGGCTGGGGATTTAGCTCAGCAGCATAAGCGCCTGCCTGGCAAGCACAATGTCATGAGTTTGATCCCTGATACCAAAAAAAAAAGTCATGATTCTACTTTGTAAAGATTCGTGGATACTGTATAGAGACTACGGTTGGGAGCTAGACTAGATATAAGAATATAATTTTGGAAAATAGGATGAAATAAGGGTTGGTGGCCAGCATGTGGCACAAACATTGTGAAATTTATGTGTTTTCCCATAGATAACACTGATAATGGTCCACCTGTTTTCCAAAATAACAGTTATTTTGACCAGGAAGGAAGTACATGGTATAATCTCAGCACTCAGGAGGGGAAAACAGAACAGGTATTAGTTAAGGACAGGCTGGGCTACATAGTGAGTATAAGGGTCAGCCTAAACTACACAGTGAGACCTGGGCTCAACCTCCATACCAAAACACCAAGGTTTTTTTTCACCTCCTCTAAGATTTTCTGACACAATTGACTAAACCTTTAAATCTATAGCTGAACTGCTTTATTGTTTGGTATCAGTTAATTCAGTAATTTGAAAACAACACATACGTATGTTAGGTTTGTTTTAGGGATTTTTTGAGGGAGGGCAGTACTGAGAATTGAACCCAAGGTCTTCTCCCTGAGCTACCTTTAATTTTTTTATTTTGAGACAGTTTTCCTAAATTACCCATGCTGGATTTGAACTTGTGATCCTCCTCCCTCAGCCTTGCACACTGCTGGGATTACGGATGTGTGCCACCACACCTGAGTATATTTTTAAATTTTAGATCTTCATTTTAACTTGAAACTGTTGTTTTTCTACTCACACTTGTAAACAACTTGCTATAAATTTTTAAAGTGGATTTCACAGTTATTATGTCTATCTATGATTCTTGGTTTTGAGTTCCAAACTTCTCTCCATTATCTTTCATCTCAATGAATTGTATCATCTTTACTCATGCATCGTATCAGCAAATCAAGTTCTTTCTTCATTCAAAATTCTTATATTTAAGGATTAGATTCCCTTCACTCAAAAAAAAATTATCTCTTAGAAGCCAGGTATACTGGTACATATGCAGAATCCAGGTACTCTAGAAGGCTGACACAGGAGGACTACAAATTCAAACCTAGCTAGGGCAACTTTTAATGATTTAGCCAGACCCTTTCTCAAAATAAAAATAACTGCAAAGGCCCTGAGCTCAATCCCTAGTAGACACCCACCCTGCAAGTTATCTCTCTCAGTTGCTTTGTATTTAAGACCTTGCCAAATCTTTCACCTTGTGGAGAACCTCCTGGGAATATTGCCTCACAGTGGCTAGTAAATAATGTTGTCAAAAAGTAAAAAATAAAAACAAACTTCTTTCAAGATTACTATGAAATTACCTAGTAAGTGGTCCTCTTCTGGAAGTAAATAATTCTACTCACATGGTATATAAGATCTATTTGATATTATACAAAGAATTCTGTGGAATAATTTCTATTGAAAGCCTTACATTTAGATTTAAGATATATAGATTAAACTATAGATCCAACTAAAATCGCTTCTCAGCCTTTTGGCTAAGATCAAGTATAGATCTAACTAAAACGGGATAATGTCCCTAGAAAAAAGTATTAATACTGAGGCCTGGGTAACTCTTAAATAATTCCACAAAGCAGCTATAGTGATGCAGAAGTTAATGATGTCAGTAATGATGTCAGTGATTCAGTTACAATTTTTTTTTGAGACAGGGTCTCACTATACAATTTAGGCTGGCCTTTAGCTCACTTTGTAGCCCAAGCTGGTCTTGAACCCATAATGATTCTTCTGCCTCGGCCTCCTGAGTGATGGGCCTACAGGCGCGTACCACCAAGCCCAGATCAGTTACAATCTTGAATGAGAATGTTTCTTAAATGTAACACTGGTCAAGATACTTCTGATTCTTATCTTTGAGGTGTAAAGGTAATAACTTACATTTACTCTGCATTATATCTAGTTATTTTGTCACTCTCAAAAAGGGGTACTACTATTACTTTTCTGTATATTTATTACTCTCATGTTTCACTGATTGTTAGACTCTGATGATTGTGTACTCAACTTGTGAGGCTCTGTGATGCTTGGGTTCTTAGCTGTGAGGGTCTGATAATTGGTACTTATGTGTAATTAATGTTCTGAAGCTAATAAAGTTCTGGACATATAAAAGAAAATCACAGATGAATGTATGTGTTTATAATTTATTTCTGTTAACATTTTCAATGTCCCATATGTAGATATTATTTGAAAGTTCTCCCCATCCCAGGATCTTAAGCTTCATTTAAAAAACTTAATTCATATTCATAATTATTGAGTATATTACATTTTTTCCATTTTAGAAGTCTGACTAGACAGTAATTCCAAAATACGGCATCAAGACAATCAAGACAAAAGTATGCAGACAGGCCACGGATATGATGTTTTGGGGAAAATATTTAATTCAAGCATGAATTTTGTTCATTTAGGAATGAGACTTCATGAATGTGCCTCAGGATAAAAAAGTTTGAAACACCCTTTTGATTTTCTTATTCTAAAATATAACTGTAGCAGAAAAAATTTGATGAGCTCAGTAAAAAAATTTGTTTTTATAAAACACCTGACAATATGTTTGGTGAAATAAAATACCATTACTTTAATAAATTTAGAAAAACCAGCAGCAAAGATTCATGGCTTATTTCAAAACATGTAACACATATAGGAGTCTATTTATATATGGAATGTGGCAAAGTTTTTAATAAGTCACCATTTACTGTGCACCAGAGAACTCACACAGGAGAGAAGCACTA